AGTTTATAAGTCGATGTGTAAAAATACTTATTCGCGTTTATTGCTCAGCGTCCAGTCGTCTCCTTAGCTATTAAATTCGTCGGAAATGTCACATAAAACGTTCGAATCGATTTCGCATAAACGATAGACGTGATCGGTTGGAACGTCTACGTAAAGTCCAATTTGATGTTGGCGGTGAGTCAATCCTTTTACATCCCGATAGCCAAGAGTAAACAATGTAATGAAATATGATATTGTACTTCTTCCTTCATCAATAACACAAATATTATACATTATAACATAGGTTTCGTAAGGATATCTTGTCAATAATAACGAAAATATATATCACAATGTAAACATGCCCCGACTTCGGATACAGTAATCATATAAAGTTGTGATCAAGTCGGAATTGTTAAATTATTAAACGTACAAGTTGGTAACGCAATATCTTCCCCAGTGTTCCATGAATCACTGCATCGTAATATCGTAATGTTAGAGATGAGGAAGTTAGTGAATATTCCATAACTAAAATTCAATTACAAGTTTTGGGCGTGAGTGACCATCAGATTAAGGGCAGATCCCCAGATCGAAATTAATTGGCTCATCCAGATATTGTTGTAGTCAAGAACCCTCATCTCGCAGGATTTATGTTGGGACAAACTTGCTATATCTTACTTTTATTATAAATACGAATATTTAGATGGATGGATGGATGAATTATTGTTTGAAGGTCCAGAACGGCTGCATGGATCTCGCTAAAATTTGACATAGATGTGGAACATAACCTGGAAGAACACTTAGGCTACTAATTAAGTTTTTTTTTCATTCCGCGCAGACGGAGTCGTGGTCGACAGCTAGTATTTAAATTAATTAATTTGTAATAATTAAATATTTTAAATTTTCACACTCTTATCTCTATTTTCCATAATAATTTCCTAATAAGTAGTTACGAAATAAACATTTACAATTTTTATATTGAAGTAAAGAAAAATCTGTCGACGATTTATTTCTTACAAAAAGGAACCACTCCACCGCCGACTATATTTTTGAATGTTATCTTATCTGACCTTTAGCTTCCGCACTTCTTAAGATGTTTCGATGATTCGTCTTTATTCACAAGTTTCATTCCAATTAAATTTATCAAAGACTTTTTCGAAGAAGAAAAAATTACGAATAAATATTTGAAACAGTTAAAAAAAATTACTAAGTTTATTTTTATAATACTAAAGTGTACGTTACAATAGGTTTCTCCTACAGTTACACTTTCATTAGTATATATTGTTGTCTCTGTTATGTCAATGAGAAAGTAAGAGATGACAATATGTATTAATGCAAACGTGATTGCATGGAATCCTACGGTTATGTGAACTAAGTATTTCCGGAGTTTGTTTGCAGATGACGTGTGTAAATAGAAGTGCTGCATTGTATCTTTTGTTCCGTGTTCATTCGCAACAGCAACGATATTTTAGTTATAATTGTTTGTTTGTTATAATGTTAGCGATAAATTAAAATATCCGTGGTTTTGTAATTTTTGTAAATACATGTATAATTTTATGTGAACTTTTATTAAAAGTATTATACATAAAAGGTGAAAGCTTTCTAACCTCTACAAGCATATGTTACAATTCCCAATATTAAAATATCGATGTATTGTAATAATTGTTTAAAATCGTCAGGTCGTATGTGGCTTATTAGCGATTTGTGTGTACTTTAATGACACTAAAATATTCGGGAAAATTTATTTAATATGTATTATTACATATCTTTGCTTAGGTCAAATAGTATTTATGGTTCAAACATACGGTTAGTTTTTTTACATTATAAGGTAGCAAATGAACAAGCGGACTCCTGAATTCGCCGAAAGCGCGAAGTGACACATAGACATCAGATATTGCAGATGTGCCTCCCTATATTTTACGAATTAAGGGACGCGCATAATACAAGGTAATGAAAACTTCCTATTCCTATTTTGAAATAAAGTGGTGAAGTCAACATCAAAGGTATTTATGAATGAAGATTAACACGAAATTAAAAATAAACATGATTGTTACCGTATGGACGATGCGCCGTAAAAATAAAAGATTAATTTAGAATCATATGCCTAATCTAATATCAATTTGGCTTTATTCCTATTTCGGTAGGAAAGAGGGTTTTTATTTTCTGTTTATATGAAAATGTAATTAAAAACAATATTTTTATCCAAAGGTTTAATAAATCTATCTACATGTATGTATGCATATCTATAAATTTAAAATTTGTTCGGTAATGTTAGAACGAGGAAACATCATTTAATTATACTTGAATACTAGCTGTTGCCCACAACTCCGTCCGCGTAGAAAAAAAACCTTGTTAGCAGGCTATGTATTTTCTAAAATATGTTCTACGTCTATGTCAAATTTCAGCGAGATCCAAGCAGCCGTTCCGGAGATACCTTTAAACAATCTTGCATCCACCCATTCATATATTATAACATTCGTATTTATAATACCGGTAAGATAGTAGATAAATACAAAAAAGGAACGGAAAACATTTGTTCACGTAATTAAGAAAGGAGTTGAAAAATCATCAAGTACCCCGGGGCCCGGACGGCTGTGATTCGCAAGTCAAGTGGGCACATCTGTTACCACTTCTCGCTCTACCAATTTGTAATTACGGAATTAACGAGCTGGTTATGAACAACGTCTTCATTTCAAGTAGGCCGTTTATTTCCCTTTGCTCTATTTCATAGCCGCTCCATTTCACCTAATGAAATAATGGACTCGTTGCGAAGGTCTCGCCGGCTACCGGAGGATATTGTAATAAGCGTTATGGAGACAATTTATGTTACAGACAAATGACGCTAGATATTTTACGTGCCACCTTTGTATGAATACGTATAAAACTGATATTAGCTGAAATCTCTTTTTTTCTTATTTCCATTTTATTACAAGAAAGCGATGAAAGTATTAGGTGAGCAACGTATTACGTAAATATTAGGAGATTGTCCTAATAACATTTTCTGAGAAAATTATTTATCCACAGTCTGACAGTAAGTGGACATAACTTAGAGAAATGTAATAGAGTCGAGTATTCTTAAGAAGAAAAATCTATGAAAGTGTATCGCAAATGATTTTGGAATTTCTGCATTGAATAGTATTGCTATAAAATTACACTATGGCAATCTTTAAATTTATTCTAGAGAGCAAAAAAAAACGTAAATCCCATGATACGGGGTACATTGTATATCTGTATGTTTGTCATTCGCCCGCACTCATGGCTGTGCACACGCTACACTCGTCTATAATCCTTTGCGAAGCACAGTACAGCAACAAGGATGCTGAGAGGGTCAAGAGATGAACTGTATTAGTTTGCTGTAGCATCACACGCATTGTTTTTGTACGCTACGAATTCTGTTCTACATTGCTACGCTTTGTATACGTAACTGGCATAGCTCGTGTGTCGAATATTTTTTATACCTAATCCGTAGTTGAGAATGTCCATTGTTTTCCATTAAAGGCTTTGTATTATTTACAATGAATACTGTTGAATGTGATTATAACAAAAATTGTTTTTGTTCCTTTCATTTAACTTTCATATTATTCAACATGATGAATAAAATTTTAAGCAACAGAATTGAGATTTCACAACAAAACTTTCTTAATTAACTGCCGTAAGTAAATAATACCTTAAGCAATAATAGGATAATATTTTAACCGTATTAGATTTCCATAGTATTGGTTAATTTGTAAAATGTTAAGCTCAATTTATATTATGTCGAAATTCTTACTTTAATGGAAATATTTCGCTGTTGCTCAATATGATTAAAAGAGAAACTTGTTCCTTGTTGAAAGTTAAAAGTTAGTCTTTAGTTACTATAAGCAGATTTGTCAAATTAAGCAAGATTGTTTGGGTTGTGCAAATCGCTCTTATTTGTAGACTTTAAAAAAGAAAAAGGATGAACTAGAAATTGTTAGTCTGCTGTTTGTTATTATAAGATACTATTATTCTCAAGCTACATATCAAAAATCTTTGCAAAGCAAAGCACGAACTTTCTGGACAACCAATTATGTTTGCGTGGAATGTGCAAAACGTAAGCAAAAGAATAGGATCTCCTACCATTTCATTCTTACTTCTTACTAATATTATAAATGCAAATGTATCGATGGATGGATGGATATAAGGATGGGTGTTTGTTTGAAGGTATCTCCGGAACGGACCATGATGAAATTTGGCACAGATGTCTACATCTCTGCTAAATTCCCTTCTTAGTCTTTAGAACATAGTCCGGCAGAACACATCGGTTTCGATAAGTTTTTTTTCCATACGGACTGAGACGCGGGCGACAGCTAGTTTTATATGTTTGATTAATCTAAATGTGTAAAAATGTAAATGGTATGCTCAAATTGCGGATACAAAGGACTTTATTGTACTTGATTTGCGGACGTGTGCAAATTAATTGGCTTACAGTGAGACGTAGCCGCATGTCAGTTGCACGAAATCTTTTGCAGGTTACCGCAAAGACAATCTGTGCCGAGTGCTAATTGTATTAAAATTGCTTTTAATTTAGCTGTATTTTAATTTTAAATTGCTCTCAAAGTATTAATAAATTGATATAGTATTTATGTGGCTGTAATTATTGGACTTACTAAAAAACAACTGCCTCTACATTATATTTTTTTATAAATAAATATATTATATTTAAATTAATAAGTTTTTTGTATAATTTTTTAAAATGGCAAGAAAAATAATGTAGTAGTTTCGAGAAAAAGGTGCAGTACATTCTAATTAGCCTGGATTTTTATGTGACTTTCTTACAGCCATTCCAAATGAATAGAAGTAATTATTGCGCGTTGCTAATTAAAAGTTTTATATTTTGCAGTTGCTCTATTCAAATGTAATATAAATTTTATTTACATGTATTTATATGAACCCTGTAGTTTTATATTACAATCAGGAACGGGCGAGAAAAAAAAACATAGTACAATGTCAGGAACAACATTTACTCATATCCGATACTTTATCTTATAATTCCCTCTTTTTAGAACTGGATGATACTGTGCCAAAGACCTTAAAAGATAATGTTACTGTGAAATGAAAAAAATTATAACTTCAAGAGAGAAAGAACTACTGTATTTTAACGGACACAGCTTTACTATTTACGAAGCTATTGTCATCAATAGGCAGTGGCTCCAAATGGCACACGTATGAACGTGTGCCATTTGGAGCCTAAGGTAATTGTCATTAAGTTATTATCGAAACGATTATCAGATCAGAATCTAATCATACAATGAACATATTCGAAGTAGTTGATTTCTGGTAATGTCTAAAGTTATGTTTCTTAAAGAATTATTTTTAAACTACCTTTTGCTCGCTACATCAGTAACAATTTTCAACGACATCCGTTAAGCCCTTTTGGAGATACGTAGTAACATCCACCTATCCATTCATCCATCCATCTAAACTTTAGCATTTATTAAATTAGAATGAATTATTATGAAGTATTATAGATAATTAGCCGTCGCCCGCTACTCCGTCTGTGCGCTATAAAAAAATCATAATTAGTACTTACTGACGCTTCGCTCCTATTGGTTGCAGCGTAATGTTTTGTAGCCTAAAGCCTTCCTCCATAAATGGACTATCCAACAAAAAAAGAATTTTTCAAATCGGACCTGTAGTTCCTAAGATTAGCGCGTTTAAACAAACTCTTCCGTTTTATAATATTAATATAGATTTTATGTTGTTTAAAAATTCTTGTTTGACAAAAAACTACTCACTATTAGTATATTTTTTTCATAATAGACATGTTTTTTCTTCATTATTTCTAAGAGCTTTGCCGAGAATTTGTTTAGTATTAGGTTATAATATGAAAGTATGTGCACGTGTCTGTTACCGAGTAAATGGAAGGTCTACATTTATATTACCACAGTCTTTTAGGAGCAATCTTAGTATTTTTTTTCAACCATAGTAGTTTATTTCTTTTTGTATTTTGCAACCGCAAAGTTCTATTTAAGTAGAGTAAGTAGGGTAAAGTACTATATTTCAAATAAGATTTAGAATTTTATTGCACCAATGCTGAATATAACATAATTTTAACATTGTTTGATTTCAATTATAATTAAAGAGTTGAGAGAATTGTTAATTAAGAATTATATATAATTTTTTTTAGGTAGTGTGTATCACTCTGGCCGTATACTTAAGTGATACACATCTCAACAAATGATTCTAATATTTTTTTCGCGTTTCTGCTAATTACATTGTTGTATAGCAGTCATGTAAATAATGTTCAGCTATTTACTTAATAGCAGTTGTAATGCACGACTTGCTACGAGGCTGATACGAACCTTAAAAATATACTAAGTTGAAATAGTCTCTTGGGTAGTCTCAGAATAAAACAAATGTAATAAGATATAAAGAAAATATAATGTGAAATAATTTATATGCATACTTATAAATGCCTAAGTATATTAACTATTCAGTTTAATTAATATTTAGTATCTAAAGTATTTTCTTTCATAAGTTTATATACATAGTATATATACTATATAAACAACGTTCCATTTATAGTTTGTATAGTATTTCATGTGCAATTTAAAAGTACACGCTGTACATAGATAACGGTCTTTTAATTGCACTGAGCTTCATTATTTGCATTTTAATTAGAAAATATGCTCATAATTATCAGAACTTGCAATGTGCATGCCTATTACTCATAATAGTCAACGCAGGGAAGCGAAAAGGAACTTATAAATATAATGCCAAGTAAATTAGATATTTTATTACTAACATTTTCTTATTGTTAGTATATTATCTTAGGAAAATAACACAAGAATCTACATAAAATAAATTGAAACTCGTGAGATACTATTTAAGATTATTAAAACGCGATAGATGCATTATTGTCTATGGATGGATGGATATTATCTTATTTGCAAGTTAAGTCTAACAATGTCTAACTTGTTAACATTATAGCACCTTATTCATCTTAGTAATAAGATACTTTGACACAATTATATATTGTTTAACAACGTCTTTAACCATCGTGTCATTAGTGAAGTTAGTAGAGTATGCAGAGTCGCTACCGTGTGATAAAGGATGGTATTTTGTTCGCTCTTACTGCACAAAATCAAGCGCAAAAGTCTTGTCAACTTCGACAAAGACTAAGTTATATAAGCTTTAATTCACCTTTAAGGAAATGTTGCAGATTTTGTCATTATATTTCGAAGTAAAAAAACTTAATTAGTAGCCTATGTGTTCTTTCAGACTACGTTCCACATCCCTGCGACACTTCCAAGAGATCCATTGATCCCCGTTCTTGAGATACCTTCAAACAAACATCCATCCATCCATCTAAACATTCGTATTTATAATATTAGTCAGATATATAGGTAAGATTAAGTTTACATTTAAGAGAGAGATAAGTTATGGGACGTTTTAACTCTAACTCTAACATATTATACAACAATTTGTCTAATTCTCTTAACATTATTCTTCAATTTTTAAGCAGAAGTTACAAAAGAATAAACTAATGTTATCTCTAAGCTGTGAATTATAAAATTGTGGAGCAATCGTTTTAGGCACGAAAGCTGTTCCTTAAACAATTAACATTGATACGCATCAGACCGGCGCTATTATTCACTTGCGCTCCACATTCCCGTTAATCGTTGTCGAGGTACTTCCCCCAAATACCTTTTAATGACCTTAATTAACCGCTTAACAATACTCATTCTCAGTTATTTTATGCTTGAATTGTAATATTTCATTTCGATGGATAGAAAACGTTTTATGATATTTTTGAAATGAATGTGCTAATTATACATTTTTATTTAGTACTAGCTGTTACCCGCGACTCCGTCCGCGTGTAATAAAAAAAAACATAATTATTAGCCTTCCAGACGACATCTATGCCATTCAGCCGTGTCGTGTATATGGGAAAAACAAAAGAGCTGTTTTTATTGTTTTCTTGGCAATTCCCTGAATTTTTCTCACCTTTTTAACCTTTTTTTAGACCTCCACGAACATTTCAAGACCAAGGTAAGATAAATCTTTTCAGCCGTTCTCGAGTTTTAGCGAGACAACCGAACAGCAATTGATTTTTATATATTTAGATTTAGCATCATATTGGAGTGGTCATTTGACATCATTATGTCATGTCACAGCTTATTCTCTACAAAACTAACGTTACTTGATATTTTATACTATTATCACTAAGTACAATTTAATTATAATCTATTATGTTAAATAATGTTATACTATTAATATTTAATGCAAGTATATTTCGCTGAATCGGTAGCTTCGGAATATTGATCGTGTAACTTTAACAGCGTTACTGCATAAGCCGATTTTATGTAAAGTTTCCTCGAACCTGCTGCCCGAAGAAACTTTAAGGATGTTACATAAATTTAAAAGCATCGTTTCCGCAGGTATGAGAATTAGTTTCTTAGAATCTGTCATAAGGTACTACTTAAATATATCATGGTGATTGTTTCATGTAGAAAAAAAATTGTATGAGCAATATTTTTTGAAATTGTAACAATTCAGAACTATTTTAATACTTATATATAGTACAAAGATGCGTTGAGAAATACAACTGATACGTAATGTGTCATTAATTATACCGTCAACTTAGAATTAAGATCATAAATCAAATTGTTATACAGCGTAATACCGTAGGTTACGACATAGCAAGTCACCTAGCAAACGGCCTAGTCTACAATGAAGCCTATGACGTATTCTAAAGCGTAGTCTGGGGTTGGTTAAATGTGTGACAACGGCGTAGAATACAGCATAGCGTAATGGCATACGGCGTAGCAAGCAGCGTAGCATACATCGTAGCATAGCAATGCCGCGCTTGTTGCTAATCAAATGAGCCCAAACTGAGCTAATTAGGCGAAGGCGACTACAATTTGTCCATTTTAAGAAACGCTACAAATAAGTTTCTTTTTATATTATGTATAAGTAAAAGATAAAATATTTACGGCTTTTAAGATGCTAATTAACAATTTAATCTCGCTCAAGCATAGCTTCATCAGCGTTGGATATACCTGTTGGTAATTGCATTTTACATGCTCGATTCTGTCTACAGCTACGATCAAAGGACCTCAGCACCGCAATTAACCAGCCCCAAACTGCATATCGATTATACACAAACTTCAGTATACTACAGTAAGTCATAATAAAGTCAAAGACCAAATTATTTAAAGAAGAAGAGGTTTATAACAAAATTAATTTTGGTTATTAAATTGTTTATGTTTAAATTATTTCACAATGTTATTTACCGCCAGCTAAATGGAGGCTTAAAAAAATTTCCACTAAAATTATAACACAAAAAGCAAGATAAAAGAACAAGGAGGTTTGTCTGTAGGAATTTAGAAAGAGGAAAATCTATCTCGTAAAACTTTATTGCCCTAGTAAACGATCATGTCGCTACATCGATAGTTAGGATCAACGGCTTAAAATGCTTTTGGGTACATGAACATTTAAACTCATTCGACCATTTCTTCCAAAAACGTTTCTATGTAGGAATAACATATACAATATACTTATATATTTATATAAAAGTAAGGTTATGTCGAAGAATTATATTATTGTCATTTAGTTTTTCATAAATAGTTGAATTTCATAATTTTTCTGAAATTCCTATTATTTCCAAATGATATAGTAATAAGCATTATGAATAACATATTGCTACTATCTAACATAAATGTATTAAATGTGCGACCTTTTTGCAAATACAACAAAGGCTTTATTCCATGTTAAACGGCTGACGCTAGGAAAATTAAACCGTTTTATCGGCGTGGCGTAGAGTAAGTGAGTAATCATTGGTAGTTCTAACTCGTAATGGCGTCGACTCGACTTTGATAAGAAAGCTTAAGGCGGGGTGATGGAAAATTCTCGATTGATCGTAGTTTTTTTATTCTAAACCGCTGTATAAAGTCATAATGAACTAGAAAAAATAAAGTTTTCCATCCATATAATTATAGTAAACTTAATACTATATCATAATATAAATGAAAATATTAAATAATGTATTCTTCTTAACTACTAAAATAATTAAAGAATTTAAAGAACCAACCATAAACTGTCAGAATGCTTGATTGCATCGTTTAATCCTAGATAATTTTTTTAATATAAAATGAACACAATATAATTAATTTTAAGTG